CCTTATAAAACTGAAATTTACAGGGTAAAAAGTAATATTATGCAGTTTTTGAACACAGGTGTATTTCAGTAGAAATTATTTATCCCAGTCTATATGAAAAACTCATTAATTTTTTCTAAACACGAACCATATTTCAACCTTTTTTTTTCTTTCTAATTTCTTATACTATAGCAACTTGAAAACAAAAGACACTAGTTTTTGGATATCGGGAAAAAAAACCGTATTTACACCATGATAAAATAAAAGCATTTTTTTTTACTCTTCTAGAACAGAGTTGGGTTTAGACATTCAACAGTTTGTAGTGACATGAGGTGTTAAAAACATAAGAGCAGCAAGCAACATCCGGTGTAGATGGCAGCAACATGAGACAAAACGGTTGCTTTGGTTTCACTGGATGAAAGAACGTGTACGTGTTGGGTTCCCATAAAGAAAAAAGTTAAAACAGACCTTTCTTCTTATCCTTCTTCTTCTCTTTGACATCCAAATGCCTGTAATGCAAACAAGTTTTATAACAATAGTAGCTATCGACTTACATCAACAAAAGTTTTTAATATTTTCACATTCCAATATTGAACCTGTACTCTTACAGTGCAAATCTTGGCATATCTGTGTCCTTATATACTTTCAACTTTATCGACAACCTGTACTCTTACAGTGCAAATCTTGGCGACAACCTGTACTCTTACCGACCAAACTTGGCATATCAGTGTACTTGTATACTTTCAACTTTATCGACAACCTGTACTCTTACCGACCAAACTTGGCATATCTGTGTACTTGTATACTTTCAACTTTATCGACAGCCTGTACTCTTACCGACCAAACTTGGCATATCAGTGTACTTATATACTTTCAACTTTATCGACAACCTGTACTCTTACAGTGCAAATCTTGGCATATCTGTGTCCTTATATACTTTCAACTTTATCGATTCATGTAGTATTAAATAGAGATGAAGGTTTGGCAAATATTTCTGCAAGAATGTGTATTGATCTCCTTTGAATGGTTTAGAGTGAATGTATGAAAAATAACATACAGGTCAATGACCTACTAACAAGCTATAAATACTTTGGTAATTGTCTTGTAATTCACTCCTGAGGATGACGTTGTAACGTGGAAACATGTAGAGTCGTCAACTTTTTGAAGGCTATAGATAGGCCTAAATAAAATGTTTTTGTGTACCAGTTTAACGTTGAATATTATTTATGATTTTAAGTCAAAAGAATTCTGTTGAAACCTCTCAGTAAAAATATTCTCAGTCTGATTTAAACACAACTTAGTATGTAACATTTATTCAAGTAAACAGTTTTTTACAAAATTGGGGAAACAATTACAAACTGATAAGGCAAGATAAATTACATCATACAGTGACACAGGAGTACAGGCTTGGATTATTTATAGCAAGGCAATACTTCAAAATTTATATAAAATGTACTTTGCTGTAAATGTAAATGGAATGAGATTAGAAAAACTTTAACAAGCCACTACATCCAAAACACAATTTATCATAACACTCACATGTTTTTGCAGCAATCTACAAGAAAGCACCTATTTATTAATAAGCAAGTTGAATATCTTGTTAATTAAGTACACATACATTATATAATTTTGAGCTTTGAAAAATAACTTTGAAAATGGTAGTCTCTGGACATACACAAAGTGTAGCAAACGTTTTTTTTTAACCACAGCCACTTCAGATTAACCCCCCCCCCCCTAATATTTCTGTCCAGCTAAACCATCTTTTATGCCTAAAGCTTACACTGGAGGTACTGTCATAGGAAAAAGATTGTGGTATAGTCACGAAAGTTTTAAACCTAAAAACAATTTTCCTTTTAGTTAATTTTGTTTCTGTTATAATAATACTATACTTTAAGTTAGAAGGTGGAACCATTGTTTTTGTTTTGTTTGTGCTCTATGGTCTAAAGGGAGAGAGAGAGACAGACCTTGTGAATAATTGATCTATAAATTCTTCTTTTGGCATCTAAATAACAAATACAGGTCTGCATACTATAACAATATGCTATAGCCTCGTATGGGAACCAAGTCTGTAACTGGAGCCTAGTTAGATCAATATATATATATACATTTACATAAACTAAAATGTTTTCTGTATTTTCACAGCTTAAGCAATACATTTACATGATTTTATTGTGTTAATTAACAAAGATATAAAGAGCCCTCAAAAAGCAATCCGTACACCATATTTAAAAAAAAGTCACCTCACGGTAAAATTAATTTTGTAAGCCATTTTAAAAGACCTGTTTTTTTTAGTAAAAAATTAATTTTTCTGGATGAGACAAGTTGTTCTTTCCACATGTACATTAACTCTAAATAATGACAGTTATTGGCCAATACCGATATGTTGGTATATGGCAGTGGTTTGTTAGTTTCAGATAATTTTGAAGTACAGGTAAATTTTTTTGTTAATAGCAAATACATGTGACTAGATGTTAGAAACTCCACAATTAATAAAAATAACTTATGGAATTATTTAGAGGTTAAGAAATACAATAAACCATGATCAGCTCCGGTTTGTAGCTGAATATATTCTAAGCTAATACTGTAAACACTAGCCCTAATGGCAACTGTGTTACCAAAACTAGTTAGCTGTAAGTAATATTAAATATTTTAACTTTGATTGTGCCAAAAAATGTTGGTTTTTGTATTTTTTCTTTCTCTTAACATGATCAACTATTGATAATAATTCCAAGTGTGATTTTGGTTTATAATTAATAACGTTTGGATTTGCAATTAAGGATCATTCTACCTGGTACATTACATACAGTTTCTAAGTACCATTATGAACAACTGGAAGTAGTTACAATAGCATCAGTTTCTAAGTACCAATATGAACAACTAGCATTAATTAAACTAGCATCAGTTTCTAAGTACAATTATGAACAACTGGCAGTAGTTAAACTAGCATCAGTTTCTAAGTACCAATATGAACAACTAGCATTAATTAAACTAGCATCAGTTTCTAAGTACCAATATGAACAACTGGCAGTAGTTACAAAAGTGTCAATTTCTAAGTACCAATATGAACAACTGGCAGTAGTTACAATAGTGTCAATTTCTAAGTACCAATATGAACAACTGGCAGTAGTTAAACTAGCATCAGTTTCTAAGTACCAATATGAACAACTGGCAGTAGTTACAACAGTGTCAATTTCTAAGTACCATTATCAACAACTAGCAGTAATTAAACTAGCATCAGTTTCTAAGTACCATTATGAACAACTGGCAGTAGTTACACTAGTGTCAGTTTATAAGTACCAATACAAACAACTGGCAGTAGTTACACTAGTGTCAGTTTGTTTTTTCTGTGGCTATATTATTCGTATGATGTGTTTCACTTTGTTTTCCACTGTAAGTTCGAATGTCCTTTTGATCAAAACTATTGTGGATATTTTTTAAACTATGTTTATATAACCAAAGTATTGACCTCCTGTGATGTTAAAAGACACTTTATGATAAAATGTACACCGACAAGAGTACTTTTGTTGGATTGTACAGATATAGATAATAGAGCTGTTAGGTGCACTAAACAATTTAAAAAAAAATTACTGCATCCAGTCTAAATATGAATGAAAATAGCTGGAAACTTTACTAAACTCGTTTTTATTTTTTGGAAACATAAGATTACTTTCTCTCCTATTCACAGAGCACGAAGCTTGCGTCATAGAATTTATATAATTTATGCTTTGTATTGATTAATATTTTAAGTGTCAGCATATCTAAACTGGATATAGACCTGCATCAAGCAAACTTATCACCAATTCTTTTCCCTCTGTCATCCAAATCACTACCAATTTCTATATAAGGGTATAACAACAATTCTAATTAATTTTCTTTACAAAAAAAAGGGAAAAAAGAAGTCACAGTATTATTTGGCAGTGGAAGACTAAAAATTAGCACAGATTATTTTCCAAACTTACATAGAAAACATTTTATATATGTATAATACTTTCAAATTGAAAGAAAAAAAAACAACCTGAGCATAACAAGTATTGAATCACAGAATTATGTTTACGTATAACAAATTACTTATCTCAAATTTTGTTTATTGTAAAAAATAGCAAACTTGTCAAAATTTACATTGGTAAAGTGTGATTAAAAAATGTGTTCATTTCTTAAGGCAAAGTTGTATATCTAAAAAAATCAAGCCTAAAAATAAATTGGAATGATGGAAATTAATTTAAAGTATTTTACTACACTAATTGTATAAGAAAAGGTGGTTAAATTTGTTTTAAGCTATAAAAAACATTATATGAATCAGGCAAATAGTAGTAATTGTACATTTCTGGTAGTAGAAGATCTAAGCCTAATAATCTACAGCCCCAAGGTAACTTTGGTTGCTGTGAAAACAGGTAATAATTATTATTGAACTATAAATATCACTAAAGAAATAAAAATATCTTTCCATTAAAAACCATATTTTTTGAAAGTATTCCATGTGGTATAAAACAAAATTAGGTTTATGTGTATGTTACTTACAGAAATAACAGGACACTATCAATAGTTCATGTTGTTAACTGCAGGTTATAAAGAAATAATTACTGCTTAAGTTTAGAGTAGAAATTAGGTTTATGTGTATGTTACTTACAGAAATAACAGGACACTATCAATAGTTCATGTTGTTAACTGCAGGTTATAAAGAAATAATTACTCCTTAAGGTTAGAGTAGAAATTAGGTTTATGTGTATGTTACTTACAGAAATAACAGGACACTATCAATAGTTCATGTTGTTAACTGCAGGTTATAAAGAAATAATTACTGCTTAAGGTTAGAGTAGAAATTAGGTTTATGTGTATGTTACTTACAGAAATAACAGGACACTATCAATAGTTCATGTTGTTAACTGCAGGTTATAAAGAAATAATTACTGCTTAAGTTTAGAGTAGAAATTAGGTTTATGTGTATGTTACTTACAGAAATAACAGGACACTATCAATAGTTCATGTTGTTAACTGCAGGTTATAAAGAAATAATTACTGCTTAAGTTTAGAGTAGAAATTAGGAAATATAACTGACAAATTTTTGTTAAAATGTGTGCTAAAATAGTTTTCCAGCAAACCCAAGTTGGTAATCTTTTTGTGTAGTTGTTTTAAATACATTAGAAACAAACTATACATACATACATACACACAAAGCCTCATAAAAAAATATAAAACTGCTTGTTGTGACATTAGTAAAACTTAAAATGCTGAACTCTGAATGAGTATCAAGATTGTTATTGTCAGAGCACCCAACTGATGGATATTGTCTTTTTCTTCTTTGTGACAAATTCACTTAAAAATGATTTATTGGACACAGAGTAATATTGATATGGAATTCAATCATGGATGTTTTCAAAACCATATAGTTTACTGGGGGCAAATTCAGTTGAAATATGAATCTTTAACCTAGTTTGGTTATGCTAGCTTTGTATACCAGAGAGAGAGCAACTAAAGTGCTTATCTTTGTATCAAACAGTACAGTTTGTAT